AACTAGCATCTGTCAAATAAAAATTCCACTGGCTCCAGAATTTGAATTCTTCCATCCCTCTTTTATTCCCTGTTCCTGCGTCCCAATCCTGGAAGAACCATACAAATTATGGAGGCAGGAGCAAGCTAAAAAATACTGTGGCAAAACAAATTATATCCTTTTTTTTCACTTTTCTAGACTAAGAGAGAGAAGAGGTCTTCAAAAGTACGTGAGACCGGCTTTTGCTTAGGATGCAGAAATCTGGAAAGATCACCCCACCCTCATAACAACAGGGGAGTGACAACAGTAACAACAAAGCCAGACAGTGAAAATTCACAACTTTTCTGGAACACATCAGAGAGCTAAAAGTGACAGGAAAACCAACGAATCTGAAATCTAAGAAAAGATAGGAGCCTCCAAAGAGAAATAGGACATGACCTCTTGCTCACCCAGTATAGTCACCAACAGACAAGGGTAAGAAGAATTCAACTAGGGCTGCCTGGGTGACTCAGTCAGTTAAGCATCTGATTCTTGATTTCAGCTCAGGTCTTGATCTCAGGGTCGTGAGTTCAAGCCCCACATTGGGCTCCATACTGGGTGTGGAGCCAGAAGGAGAAGAAGAAGAAGAAGACTGCAACTAGACCTTTTAACTAATCACTAAGGGCTGAGTTTAGACTAAGGAGAGTAAACAGAACCCCTGAGAGCTGCAGACACAGGAATTTGCAACACCTCACAGGCTCTTCTCCTTGGACATCACTGAGCACTCACAAAAAAGACTAGGGTGAAAGCAAGACTCCTGAGAAAGGTGCAGGCCTGGGGAAGGCACACAGCAGCCACTGTGGGGAATGCAACACCCTACTGGATTCCTATGTCTCCATAGGAATCAAAGCTTTATGCGCTGTGGGAATGTGACAAATACTGCCACTCCTAAGGCACTGTGAAAACCCACCTCAGATAGAAGAAGGAACAGAACATAACCCTTTACCCCTGGCCCAGAATTACAGCTGGGAGAGGGGCAGGAGCACTGAGAATCCACGGACACAGTGCCTTCCTAAGACTGAGGGTTAGTCAGAACAGCAGAGAACAGCATGCTCCTCACCTCCCACCTCCAGAGTAACAAACTTATCCTAACAAGTAACAGTGGTCTACTCCTGGGACAGAGGTCAGAGCATGCTCTCAGAAAAGCAGTGCAAAGGGGAGCAAGGAACAGAGGGCACATTCAAATGAGTTCTAAAGAGAACTTAATGAAGAGACTACTTACAGAGGTTAAGGCAGATTCTGGAACTAACAAGGAATGCGGAAGGCACTGAGTGATCACCAATAGTAGGAAACTCTGAAGGCTTAAAGTGGCAAGAAAAAACAGAGTAATTGGAGTGATAGCTAGAGCCACACAAGCCCGACAACCTGGCAGGTTGCTGTAGTGACAGGTGGTTGCAGCCATTGCCACAGAATAAGGAATTATGGTTCTATATTTTTAGTTTCTCTCTCATCTTACCCTCCTGCTAGTGTCTCTCATTGGCTGACCCAACCAAAAAAGAGTCAGGGAGTTTGGGTGTTACCTATACATTAGCTCCATAATGGCACAGAGAAGAGCCAAAGGAATGGATGGAATGGGTGCAAATGGAAAACACCCAGCATAATGCAACCTACCGTGACTCCTGCATCAATGTTGGCTCCATCTCCATAGCCTTGGCAGCCTCTCCCTCCTCAGAATTCAGACCTGGGCCTTCTCTTTTCTCTCTCTACCATCTTTCTAAGTGATACAAAGCATTTCCATGGCTTGTGATATCACTGGTACGCTGATTACTCTTATATTAACACTAGTCCTTTCCTTGAGTCCTATGCTCAGATCTGTCTTGACAGCTACTCTCAGGTGTCTCAGACACTATATTTATGACCCATCTAAGCCTGTTAATAGTCTTAATTCACACCTCCTAGTATCCAATTCATCAACAAGTCCTATTAATTCCAACACTAAAATATATTGCAAATCTCTCCATCCTTTCTCCTTGCCACCCTTGACACCACATTACTCCTGATTTCTATACCTCCTTCTTATCATCCTCCAATCCATTCTAGATTCAATAGCCAGAGGGATCATCTTAAAATGTAGACTAGGTCATGCCACATCCCTGTTTAAACTTTCCAGTGCATTACTCTCCTACCTCATCTTTGCCACATTCCTACTTACTACTCTCTAGCCACACTGGCTTTACCAAGTCCTCACAGAAGCCAAACTCTCTCCGAACTCAAGGGCAACCCTCCCTGCCCAAGTCACTGCTCCCACCTGGCCCCCATGTTTCAGAACCTGTCTCTTTTTCATCCTTCAGGGCAGCTTAAATGTCTCCACAGAAAGGTTTTCCCTGGCCACCGTATTTTCTTCCATCCCATTATTCCCTATCTTCTCATCTAGTTTATTTCCTTCTAACTATTAATCACACTCGAATTTTTCTTTTTATTTGTTTGGTTGTGTTTTTATCAATCTCTCATGCTAAACGTCAAGCTCCATAAAGCAGGAATTATTATGCCCTATGACTATCTTGACACCCCTACATCCCCTCGGCCTAGTATAGTGCCTGGCATAAAACAGGTATTCCACGGGCCAGGGACTATGCTAAGTTCCATAAAAATAAGATTTGCTTAAATCTGCGTAAAAACCCTAAGAGGTAGATATTTTTATCATTTTCATTTTGCAAGTAAGGAAACTGAGACATAGAAAGGGTAAGCAACTTATCAAGAGTCACATGTTTAGGAGGTGACAGGTGAGATTTGAACCTAGACAATTTGATATCAGAGCCAGCACTTTTAACTACTACACAATACCTACTTCCACATTCGTTTCCATGGATGAGATAATGATTGTATAAATTAATAAAGTGGAAGGACGGACATAGGTTGTATCTACAGGTCAGTATGGGGAAGTCAGAGAGGCTGGTATTGAAGGCTTCCAGTATTAAGATCTGAAGACTGATTGTACCAGACTGACACATTGGAGAGAATATGTACCAGGCACACAGACTCATACATACAAAAACACAGAGGCAGGAGAGAGGGTTGTATGTTAGAGGGGAATGAGTAGTTCAATTTCCTTGGATTATAAAATGAGAGGAAGGGAAGAAAATAGGTAGTAAAAATTGATGAGGTTAAATAGGGACAGTTTGTAGTCAACACAAAGCCAAGATTAGGAAGTGATTGAAGAAAATCAGTCAGAATGGAGACACAATTAGGTTTGCAATTTAGAAAGGTCCCTCTAGCTACATTCCTTCAAGAGAAAAAAATTTTCGTGGATACCCTTGGTGTCCACTGATACTCTTTGTACAAATATATAACAAGACACAAACTCCTTAATCTTGTACCTCTTATACAGTCATAAAACTAAAATAATCGTATATACTTTATAAGCCAAACTACAAACCAAATTAAATTTTAATTAACAGTAATTTAATGCACTGATGTTTTACTTCAGTGAAATTGCTACTCAGAGCCGGCAGTGGTATTAACTATTTTGACACACATTCATTGGAGTTTGAAGAAAAGAGAAAAGGAGATCTGAGGAATATTGCTGGTGGATTTAAATTAGATCATCTTTAATGTCCTTCAAAAGTTATAGGTAAAGAACTTCCTTTTAAATTATATTTTGGCTGTCAAACTATACTTGGTAAAAAAATTATTTCTAGAATGAGACATCTCAGATTGAACCTCAATGGATCACAGCTTCTGTGCATACAACTGATGCTGGCAGGCTGGGTCCAGGGACCCAAAGAGGGTCTCCAGGACCAGCTAAGAGGGTCCTTGGCTTCACACAGGATGAAAATCAAATGCAAGCCAGCAGGAAGTGATAGCAGAGTTTATTGAAGATCCAGAGAGATCAGATACAGATGGAGCATCTGAGAAATTCAGAAAGAAAAGGAGCATGAGCCACGTCTTTGTTCAGGGTTTTTATTGAGGACTGTGGTCTGGCATCCAGGAACCAGTTAGAATAAAGACAAGGGCCCAGGTGTTATTCCTTGGAGCCAGGGGGTCTTGGCCTCAAAAAGTCTAGTGCTGGTGGTCTGGAATATGCATATGATAGCTTTGTCCAGTCATTCTCATCTGGTCTTTCCTTAGATGTTATCTATTCTAAAGAAATCATTAACTTTTTGTCCCATACAATGGGGACATACACTATTTGCATTCTGAGGCATGTGTAAAGTGGACGTGCAGGTCCTAGCAAGAATAGAAGCAGGGAAAAGAGCAAAAACCATGTTTTTATGGAGTCCTTCAGTTTCCCTATCTCACAACCACAAGAATTTAAACTTTTTATACTTCTGTTTCTGTGTTAATCTTAAAATGCTTAATGTAGAGGCTGCTTTTAGGCAAACAGGGTGAGCAATGGAATTTAGACCTTTCTAGGTTGGAGCAGCCTGGAGCAACCCCCTGGCTGAATATAGACAGGCTGATCAGGCAACCCACACAAAATATCCATAGGCCCTAACTAACCAATGGGCTACTTACAACCAGGCACAGTTACCAAAAAAGGGAAAATTCCGTAAGTTGCACACCTCACCTACCCTTTAAAAACAGCCCCCACCCACTGCCTCCTTGCAGACAGTGTCTTCTTTGCTGTCTTGCTGGCTCCTCTGTTGCAGTGTATTCAGTAAACTTCCATCACCTAGGTTCTGCTTTGGGTGAATCCTTTTACCACCCCCATCGCTGGCTTCCACACCATCACTGCCCCACATTTGGGGGCCCCCATCCAATCAAGAGAGACACCACACTTAATAGAAACACAGTCTGGATCATCTTTATGACTACTGAATAACAAATTTCAATACCCACATTGCCTTTAAATTTATGAAATGATTACTACCATATCAATTATTTGGGGTTGGTGTGAGGAAACAGGTGGACTTAATGTGTAAATACTGCTTTCCAATATTTCCAGATGGATGAAAGCTTAACAGATTCATGGGGCTCTACAGCAAAGAGGGTTGTTCAGTATTTCAAACAGGAAACTAGAGGGAAAATTAAAAAGAGGCTAGTCAAAGGTGAATCTACCATTTATTGAGCGCTGACAATGTTGGCAGGTACTGTGATAAACATCTTACATGCTCTGTCACATTTAATCTTTACAAAAACCCTATGAGATTCATATTAATATCCATATCTATAAATGAGGAAACTGAGGCTTAGAGAGATAGGGTCAGACAACTATTAAATGGCAGAGCTAAGATTGGGACCACTCAAGACTCACTTCAAGTTTATGCTCCGAACTATTAGGCAACACCACCTGAATGAAATGATTAAATAGTACTTAAGTGCTTTAGCAAAAGGTGATTTTAGTATTCTTATTCTATAAATTCAAGATCATGTTGTATTATGGCAAGTAGATTATGATAGATTTGTCATTAGGACAGGTTTCAATAGATTGGTCTAGAAAACACTGTAGCAACAGGGGGTAAAGTCAAATGTAGAGGAAGAGGCAAAAAACTTCTTTAACACTAAATATCCCTAGCAGATTTAGTAGTAATTCCTTCTATTGACATGGAAATTCCAAATCTGTGCTAATATCTCATGGAAACCAAGGTGTCAGGGAGCTGCTTTGCCACTAAATCATTTGTCTGTGTGAAGTTCAACATTTTTAGTTCTTAAAACCATGTTTGAATGTATGTTGGATTTTGTTGTTTGGATTTCTTTGGAGGAAGGAGGTTATGATCTTAAAAGAGAAATATGACCCTCATAATAAAAAAATTATCATTGATTCATTCAAGGAACCATATGAAGATGTTCTAACAGGATTAAGAGGGGTGGGAGAGATTTATTTACTCCCTGAAAATTTATCAAATTCAAATTTCAAACACTATTTTTCATTTTCCAAAACATTTCTTTTAAATAGTAGCTGGCATTTTGCATTTAATAAGAGTTAGTTTAAAAAATAATAACACTTGATCAAAAGGGGCAAAGAAATGAATTGCTAAATATTAACAATGGAAACGAAAATGAATAACAAATAATGTCAAAGATCTAAAATGGTGATATAGATCAATAAGAACTGAAATTAACTTACTAGAAATAAATTAACACAAATCTTTTCAGTAATATTTGTGTGAAATTTATAAAATAAAAGCCAAGGCAAAGGACAGGAGAGAGAGATCTCTTCCCATGGTCCACTACATAGATTCTCCTCTAATTTCCAGTTTACAGAAGCCAAATAATGTTTTGTCTGATGACTTCTATTATTACTATATTTACCCTACTTATTCAACATTTGCATTATTCTAGGACTTTCTTTTAAATAACGATAGCACACACATACATAAAAGGCATTAACTTTCCAATTGCCTTTCAGTGGCAGATACTTAAATAGGAAAGATAAGTTGTCACAATTGCGTTCAGATAGGTTTGACCCTTTCTAGGCTTCGTAGAAAGCGACCAAGGTATCCGCTTCCCCGCCTTCCCCCGCCCAGCCACCACGGAAACGAAACTGCACCAGGCTCCGCCCCGCCGTCAGCAGAGTGAGCCAATCAAGGTGCAGCCCGGGGTGATCGCGTGCCGGGTGTCATGGCGGCCTGCAGGCATTGCTGCTCGTGCCTCCGACTTCGGCCGCTTTGCAATGGTCCCCGTCGTTTGCCAGGGCGGGATCGGGCGCTCACCCAGTTGCAGGTGCGAGCACTATGGGGTGGCGCGAGGTTCCGAGCCGTGGCCGTGGACTTAGGCAGCAGGTAAGGAACAGCGTGTGTTCTATGTCCTTTCACAAGGCGTCCTGTCCAGGCAGCCCGAGGTAAATTCATCTCCCAGGCTAGGAATCCGGCAACACAGATCTCATTTACCCCTCTTTACCCCAAACCTAAGTACCAGATTTCTCTTTCCGGGTTTGGAGTCTGCTTCCTGGCACCCTTCCCGCACTCAGACTCGTGTCCTTTGCTTCTCGGTCCTCCCTTTTACCCTGTTCCGGCTCCTTTCTCCAGCTGAGTCAGTCCACCTGACTTTCATCCCCTTTATTTGCGTGGACTCCTGGACTCTGAAGTGGGAAACATTTCACTTCAAGATAATGAGTTGACAGTGGATGCGTACGTCATCCAATCCAATTTATTGCCTAAATGCATGGCCAATATGACCCTGGGTAGGAAGGGAAGGAAAACGTCAATTTATTGAACGCTAGTTATGTGATAGACGCTTTTTAAATCTGCAGTAAAGATGCTATTACCTCATTTCATAGTTAAAACAGAAGCTCAAAAAGGGTAACTTTCTCAGAGCCGCTTACTCTGACAGTAGGTGGATTTTGTTTTCTCTCCAAACCCATACTTTTTCCATGGGTCCGTTTGCCATAATTCACATCTAAAATCACTTTTTAGGGACGCCTGGGTGGCCCAGTCGGTTGAGTCTGCCTTCGGCTCAGGTCATGATCCCGATCCTGGGATCGAGTGCTGCATCCTTGCTCAGCGGCGAGCCTGCCGTTCCCCTGCTTGTGCTGGCGTGCTGTCTCTCTCTGACAAATAAAATCTTTAAAAAATAAGTAAAATAACTATTTAAAAACGGATTTTTAGAGTAAATGAAATTGCTAATGCTTACTTTATATATCTACATTTTTCACATGTACTAAATTTTTTTACCCTAGTGTGTACAAAAAGCTGAAAAATCTGCCATTGATTACAGGTTTGCCTTCCTAACTTACTGAATGATCCTGAACAAGTTACTTAGCTTTTTTGTCACAAAATGAGAAGACTGGCTTAGGTCAAGGGTCAAATTCTTCTGTAAGGGGCAAGATGTAAATACTTTAGGCTTTGTGTGCTGCATACTGTCTGTCACATAGTGGTCTGTGTTTACAGACCCTTTAAAAAAATGTAAAAAAATAAATAACTGAAAGGCTGTACAAAAAAAATAGTTTGTTGATTCCTAGACTAGATGATCTCTAAAGCTCTTTCCACCTCTGGCATTCTCTGATTCTGATTTTTTTTTAAAGATTTTATTTATTTATTTGACAGAGAGGGACAGAGCGAGAGAGGGAACACAAGCAGGGGAAGTGGGAGAGGGAGAAACAGGCCTCCCACGGAGCAGGGAGTCCAATGTGGGGCTCAATCCCAGGACCCTGGGATCATGACCGGAGCCAAAGCTTAACTACTGAGCCACCCAGGTGCCACTGATTCTGATTTTTTGAGGGAGAGAATATCTCTTCCATTTTTCATGACTTCACGTTCTTTGAATAAATGCCTCAGAACAGACACCGCTGTGCACTAAACAGACTTTTTTAATGGACTCAAAGCAAGAGTAGTAGCCCCTGCCTTCCAAATTTTCCATCATCTACTTTAAATATTTCATTTATCAGTCAACCTGGATCTCTTGTAGTTAGTTCTTGAACCTGTGTCATGTGTTGTAATAACTAGATTCCTACATATCATACCTTCTGGGTAAATCAATTCTTTCATCTTTGTGGGTTTTGTTTGTTTTTTTTTTTGCAACATTTATTGAATTTGACTACTATGTACCATTCACTTTATACCTGTTACCATGTGTATTATATATAATGCTTCAGGGGACTATATACTATTGTGTTTTTCAAATGCTCTACTTAATACTCAGAGTAACCTTTGAGGCAACTGTTTAATTTTCAGTTCAACAAGCTTTTATTGAGCATCTACTGTGTACAGGGCACTGTAGATACAGATTCTGATAAGGGAGTAAGATAAACACAGATGCTGGGAAAATCACTGTAGGAGAGGTGTGAATGGGGTGCCAAAGGAGCACAAAGGATATTTATCCCACCCTAAAGCTTGTCATTGAAGGTGAATCTTGAAGGGGCAGGAGGAGGAATTAGCAAGGAGAAAGTGGAAGTGCAATTACTGGGAGGTGACAGAGTACATTTGAGTAGCTACAAATAACTCTTTGTATGAAGCAAAAGGTGAAATGTGAGTTTAGCATCAAAGGTAAGGCCAAGTGACAGGCAGAGACTGAATCTTAAAGATGTTTCGGGGTTTTGTTTTTGTTTTTTTTGTATTAGCGAATTTTTCTCAGTGGAAGTTGGAGGAAGGTGGTTACATTCCACATCATTCTGTAGATGTTTCTAAAAATGTTTTTTTTTAAACATCTCTCTCCCTGGAATTGTACTCCTGTGGCAGCTAGCTCTGCTCTTCCCCTTCTCTTCCTCAGCCACCTTTTCCCACCCTTCTTCCCACTAATAATCTCACTTCTCCTCCTAATCCTTTTTATTTATTGTTTTCAAGTGATTTTCTTATTAGTTATTCATTCACATTAGGTAAATTCACATGGCTCAACATTTTTAAAAAGCTCAAAAATCTCCTTCCGTAGCCACCCAATTCCAATCCCCAAAAGCCATATGTGTTATCAATCTTGTATGTATCTGGAGCTATTTTACACGTAAAATACTGAAGAGTAAATTGATAAGAGGTAAAATCAATCATGATGTATAAAAGTAATTATAAGCTTGCACCAAAAACAGAACTAAAAGTGCATGAATAGGAAAAAATTACATAGGTCAGTTAACACCAGCTGAGATCATGAGATATAATGAAAAGTAACCACCTGGTTCTTTGTGTAATATAAATTGCACACACCTGGAAGAAAAACAGTTCAAATCAGGGCAATCACCAAGGCAGGACCATAGAACTATCTGGTGGATGGCCTAGGACCCCTACTGGAGACACGGAGTAGACTCAACAGAGGGAACAAAGAAGGCAGGAGTATGTAGTGTTTGAATAAATATATAAATCCAAGTGTTGTTTGAATAAGCATATAAATGGAAGTGTGCATGTATGAGAATATTTGGGGGTACTGCAGACCTGTTTGTTTTTCTCACTGATTCAGTCAGTCCCATTGTAAATTGGTTAACTGTAGAAGCTTAACAGTGTTTCCTCGCTTCCACTTCTCTGCCCACTGATACAATTGGGAAGGTCTGGTTAGTAGAGGAGTGGGTCATCTACTCCTTGCCTCAAGCTTTGTGAGTATGTGTGCTCTCTTTGGTATACTGCTAGTCCCTACATAGGTGGGGCCATGTGACTGGTATTCACCAGTGGAACCTAATAAAAAGTGATACATGTCGTCTGCAGACTGAAGTATTTTAGTCCAATGAAACTTAACCATTATTCAGAGAGAACCCATGTTCTTGACCTCTGTTCTCTACTGCCTTCTCTTGGTCCCCTGTACAAATTATATCCCCATTAAAGAATAAAGACTATCACTGAGGACATGCAAAAGAATATGCCACTGTGAGCATTCTCAAAAATTCTGGGGCAAGATCCCCATTAATGGAATAGAACTAGAGCTTTCACAGCTCCTCTTCTTTCTTGGGCCCACTTGAGTTTATTTGGAGAATACTCCCTTTCACAGGGATCACTGAGAATTTACATTATTCGATGGAATGCTAATTCCTATTAGATCTTTGAGAAATACTGCTAGCATATTCTTACTCTGATTAAACAAAATTTCAAGACCCCAGACTTCTATTTTACACATAAAACCTTATTATTGATTTCAGCTGTAAGTTGTGGGACTTTGCTTGAGTCTACACAATGTGACTGGCTCTGAGCATCTCATTTCCTCCACTTACTATGCCACCTCCAGCCTTATCTCTGCACCTCATCATTCCATCTGTCAGGGTAAACCCATTTTATTGTAGGCTGTCATCACAACATCTGTGTTGAACAGTAATAGAGATCCATCTAGAATTTCTCAAATATTTCTTGTGGTTAAAAACCAGTTTTTCAAAGTTAGGACTGATAGTACAAGTGTACATGCTTTTTTGGCTTTCAAATTTAACAAAATGAGTCTATCTGATTAGATAAATATGCTTTTCATGAACTCAGGCTTCTGACAAGTGTTTAATGGATAGAAATACTGCGTTATCTCTTTATCCTTTTTGCATATGAAGGACAGGGCAGGCAGGGCATTAGCGTGTGTGTATGTGTGTGTGTGTATGTGTGTATTCAGCACTGGACCATGACAGAGTGTTTCTGAAGCAGCTTTCATAGGACAGAACATCTTCCTCAGTATCTTCAGGAGTCACTGGGTTGGTTTGGCCTCATAATACTCATGAATTTTGGTTTCTTTGACAAGTTTCGCTGATATGTTTCAAGCCTTCAGTAACCTTTTTGTACTCTGCAGAAGCTGGGGAATAAGGCTGATGATAATACCACCTATTTAATATCTATAAGGACAGCTTTATTAATATATAATTTAAGTACTGTACAATTTACCCATTTAGAATGTACAATTCACAGTTTTGCAGCCATCACCATAATCAATTTTAGGACATTTTCATCACCCCCAAAAGAAACCTCAAGCCTATTAGCAGTAACTTCCCATTTCTCCCCAACCTCCATAGCCCCGGGCTACCACTGATCTAGAGAATTTCTGTCTGTATGGATTTGCTTCTTGTGAGCATTTCATAAAATAGAGTCAATGACATATGGTCTTTTGTGACTGTCTTCTTTCACCTACTATGGGTTTTTTTTTTTTTTGGTATGAAAAAAATTTTTTTTTTTTTTAAGATTTTGTTTATTTGCCAGAGAGAGATTGAGAGAGTGCACAAGCAGGGGTGAGGGGCAGAGGCAGAGGGGAAGCAGACTCCCTTCTGAGCAAGGAACCCAATGCAGGACTCGATCCCAGGACCCTGGAATCATGACCTGAGCTGAAGGCAGTCACTTAACTGGCTGAGCCATCCAGGCACCCCCACTTATTATGTTTCTAAGTTATATCCATGTTGTAACTCAGAAATACTTCATTTTTTTTAAACGATTTATTTTGAGAGAGGGAGAGCAAGCATGCAAGAGTGGGGGAAGGGGCAGAGGGAGAGAATCTTTCAGACTCTCTGCTGAGTGAGGAGCTTGTTTTTTTGTGGTGGAGGGGACTCAATCCCATGATCCATGAGATCACAACCTGCGCGGAAACCAAGAGTTAGACACTGAACTGACTGAGCCATCCAGGTGCCCCAATACTTCATTTTTTAAATGGCTGAATAATAATATTCCATTGTATGCAGTGAGACCACATTTTGTTTATTCATTTATTAGTGGACATACATTTTGATTGTTTCCATTTTGGGGCCATTATGAATAATGCTGTGGGTATGAATGTTCCTATGCAAATTTTTGCATGGACATAAA